CGCATGATGGACGGGAGACGAGATTCCGTCAGCATTTCCGTCGGGTCCTGCACAATACCGCTGTAGCTGTTGGACTGCTCCGCCTGTTCGGAGGTGTGCACAGAAATTGAAATTCAAGCAATCAAAACCGGGAAGGCGTCAGATTGAGGGACATGGTTGCATTCAACAGTTGCAAATTATTATTGACAGACAAGCAGGATTGGTTTCGGCAGTGGCACTAGCTCCACAACAAATCCAGGATACAGGAAACAGCAGCCACGAGGGAAGCAGTATGCTAGCAGCAAACTAATCAACGGCAACAACACTACCACGCAACACTCTGAAATACATTGCATACTTATTCACCTTGTCGATAGCGTCCACCACTTTCTGGTAGATGTCCAAGAGCTCCTTCTCTCGCGGCGTGTTCTCCCGCCTTCTCTGCGCTTTGAGTGCTCGCTCTCGCGTTCGCTCTCGCGCTCGCTCTCGCGCTTCTCGCTCTCGCGCTCGTTGTTCCGGTGTCTTCTTCCTCTCCTCGCGCCTTCTGTGCTTCAATCGTTTTTTGTTCAACCCCGCTAACCTCCCCTTGGCTCCATCCCCCAACGCCACCCGTGTTCCTCGCCCAGGCCCACTGCATCGATCGGCCGCGTGCCCCGTCTCGTGCGCGGGCGGGGTCGGCGTACAGCCCGTCGAAAAGCTTCGTCCTCGAACCTTTTCGGACGGTCTCACCACTTGTACCGCTAGAGGCTGCGTGCCCGGCTCCTCCCACAGCTGCTGTTTCGCCGGGGTCTCCCACAGCTTCTGCTTCGCCGGTGTCCTGAGGCTGAACATCATCATCAGCCTTGTCGCCGCTCTCTCCGCCAAGTTCGCCGGGGCCGCGAGAGCGGTCGCGGCTTGCGTCTAGAGCGTCGAGAAAACTGTCCTCGCCGCTGGAATAAAGAAGCTCTGCAGCTCTAGCCTGGTCATCCTCACCAAACCAATCTTCCAGCGGAACACCAACACCCGAACATACCAGCATGTCGGTCTCGCTCTCGCTGCTGTCGCCACGGCTGGTGCGGTCATGTTCTTCTTGCGGGCTGCAGATCTTCTCGGCATCATGATCACTGCTGTCCGCACCAACATCTCCCACCTCAACATCCATCTCCACCGCACCTTCAGTCTCCATAGTTTGAGGCGAACCATGCTGCCATTCCTGCTGCTGAGCTGGGGGCTTCAGCCATGCTGCCAAGCTCCCCGCCATCCCGGCGTCCTCCTTGCTCCACCGCGCTCGCCTGTGGCGATGCTGCGTCGACCGGTGGAGAGGTTGCACCGCGTTTTTTCGCGCAGGCGGCGCGACTTCGGGCGCCACCGCCATTGCTGTGCGAGCTGCTGCAGACACCGCAGCGCTCGCTGCAGAGCGAACCGCAGAACCGAACGGCAGTTTCGCCTGCCCGCGACCTGGCTCGCCACCCGCATCCTCATCGCGCCAGTCGTCGTCGTGGTCGTTGGTGTGCATGGGAGAAATATTGGCGCCTTCATGGTCGGAAGAGGGAGGAGAGTCGTTGCCTACAGCAGGGTCCGCAGGGGGCGAAGGGGCCTTCCGAATCGTGCCGTCGGCGTTCCTTGGCAGCTTGCGCGTACCCTTTGGGCGACCCATGTGCCCGGAGCGCGTGTGCGTCTTTCGTTGCGTGCGTAAAGGGTGTGTGTGTGTGTGTCCTCTGGTGTGTGTGTGGCGGGAAAAAATTCCCCGAGGGCGTGTGAAACCACCCGAAATATCTCCGAAACCCGAGTTTTTTTTTGAAATCGGAAAAAAATCATCGGTGGGAAATCACGAGAGGAATCGATTGCAGCACTTTATTTTTGAATCGTACGGTTGGATTGTCCCCAAGAAACTAAGCAAAATACCCTCCAATATCCGGTTTTTTGCCCATAACTCCGTTATTTTTTGTCAAATTGGAAATCGGAAAAAAATCATCGGTGGCAAATCACGAGAGCTGTCCAAATCCGGTCTCAGATTTTGTGTCTGCAAAAAACACCGCCCTCCAGAAAGTAAGCAAGATTTCTTGAATATCTGAACATATCGAGCGAAGGACGAAAAAAAAAAAATCTCCGTACGAAGATGCGCCTTGAAACGTCGATTTACGCGGTATTTTCAGATTTCGGAATAAGTACCCCCACCCCGAGAAAAGTGCACCTTTGTGCAGGGGAAAATATTGTGAATTTTTCCGGAAACGGACCATATAAAATTGCAGAATAATATTTTGGGGTGGGCTTTGGTTTTCCGCACCCGCTCGCTTCCCGCGTACCCCCCCTGTTCTCTCTCTCTCTTTCATCATATTTGTGCGCATCCATCCCCCCCTACTACCACCCCTCGGTGTTTGCCATCGGGATCGGGTTTCGTCGCTTGGCAACGACGTTGTAAAACAAGCCAATTCACTTCGTGAACTCGGCAACCAGGTTACCGNGCGCATCCATCCCCCCCTACTACCACCCCTCGGTGTTTGCCATCGGGATCGGGTTTCGTCGCTTGGCAACGACGTTGTAAAACAAGCCAATTCACTTCGTGAACTCGGCAACCAGGTCACCGTGTTTTTTTTCCTCTGTTTTGTTTTTGGCGGTAACCGTAATGGTAGTCGCGTAGATCATGTTGTGCGGGGTGGAGAACCCTCTCGCCGCGCAAGGGGGATGATCGCACCACGTTGTGTCAAAATGGTCAAGCACCCTCGAGGCAGTTACACAGTTGTTGTTGCTGACGTCTTCACATTGAAAACCGTTCCGATCTCTCTCTACCCAGTACCTTCGTATGTCCATCCTGATCCAATAGTCGACGCGGTCGATTCCCGTGGTCGCAGGCTAACTTACCCCAGAAAGGTACACTCTAATAAAATGGCCCCGACGGATCCGCAAGTCAATAGAAATCAACGACAGATATTCTGCAGTCTTCCACTCCCTCTGCGCGCTATGCGAGGCAACAACTGAGACTAGGAGTCACCATCACGGGCCGGAGAGAATGAGGTACACCCGCTTGGTTCAATCTTGGTGCTTCACAACGCAAGCAGAGACAAGGCCATCTGGCACAGAAAAAGAGAGAAAAAGAGAAAAAGAGAAGAAATAAAAGGAAATAGAAAGGAAAGAGAAAATGAAATAAAAAGAGCGAGGACAAAAGGAGACCAGGCCGAAAATAACAAGAAATAAGAGACAGAAAAGGCACACGGCGGAGAGACCACTAACGACCAAGCAAACACGCAAACATGGCCACCAACCAGCGATACATTGTAATGGTACGTCATCACTAGTGGGGGGTTGGTGCAATGGTGCAGCGTTGGGGTGGGGGAAACTTGGCTACAAGAAATTCAATCCGGCACGTATCGCGCCACTCGGTCCGTCTCTTCTCGTTTGCTTTCTTCCCTCGCCGTCTCGTCCGTCTCCTGCCCCCCTCCCGCCCCATTGGTTGGTTGCTTGTGGTTTCGTTTGAGCGCCCGNAAACTTGGCTACAAGAAATTCAATCCGGCACGTATCGCGCCACTCGGTCCGTC